ACAAATTTCAGCTATTCCACTTCCAAAATGCCATTGGAGTAGTATAATCCAGCACCCATGTTTATAATCCCACATGTTCTTTGACCTTGACCAAGGTTTTAATGCAAAACTGAATCATCTGCTATTGGTTTTTACCTTCTTTTCAGTTTGTCTCTCTCTCTCTCTCTCTCTCTCTCTATATATATATATATATATATATATATATATATATATATATTTCTTTTTGAGACAGGATCTCACTCTGTTGCCCAGGCTGGAGTGCAGTGGCATGATCAGGGCTCCCTGCAGCCTTGACTTCCTGGAATCACGTTAGCTTCCCTATTAGCTGGGACTGCAGGCTGCACCACGACACCCAACTAGGTTTTTTATTTTTTGGGGTAGAGATGGGGTTTTGCCATGTTGCCAGGCTGGTCCTGAACTCCTGGGCTCAAGCGATCTACCTGCCTCTGCCTCCCAAAGTTCTGGGATTACAGGCATAAGCTGCTGTGCCTGGCCTAAATTTTTTTCGATAAAGGGAAAATACAGCAATCTGTTATATGCTGGAATCAAAATTTTTCTACTAGATGAACTTTTGGGGAAATTTAGTATTCTGTTCTAAATTAAATGCCTTTTTCAAGTAATTACTGCCAATGAACTCTCTTTTTTTTTCATGTTTAGGGTGGTCGATGCAGAGTAGTGCATGTAAGGGGCTAAAATCAGACTTAGACACATGTGGGTTCTTGCATCTCTGTATTTTCTCACAACTATTTCAGTGATCCTTAATGAGTGGCATCTTGGCATAGTGAACTTTAATGTGGGACCAGAGTTCACAAACTGTTACCTTAGGCCAGTTAATCTTTCTGACCCTTACTTTCCCTGTTGGTGAAATGGAAGTAACACTACCTACTTATAGGGCTGTTAGGAGGTCAAATGTGTCAACGTCTATAAAATGCCTCAGCTGAGTGATTGGTGCATAGGTAGTAAGTGTTCCACAAATGTGCATTTCCCTATAGTTTTACTGATCATTTTGGTGTGATATTATATTCTTTATAAAGTCTTGTGTATTTTGACCTTTTTTTTTTTTTTTTTTAAAAGACTGTTTTCTAGGGTTTTGAGGGGAGTGATAAATGTTCTGGGTTTTTAGGATTTCACTTGAAATCCTCCTATATAATTGCTTTTTCTCTGTAATGCCACTTGATCATCTTATTGGAAATAAGAGATATTTTTTGCTTGTGTGTTAGGCATCAAAACTGTGATACTTTTATTTTCCCTTTGGCTCCTTTGGCTATTATAATTCTAGAAAATTATTTCTAAAATTACTATATGGGAAACGTACTTTCTTCTGTCACTTCTTTAATTGGTTCGTGTAAATGAGCAAAAGTTTATAAGGGAATGTTAGTTAACAGTGTATAAATTTTAGATAATGACATAAGTTTAATTTATGGAATCTAATTTTAGATCTAGTTTTTCTTGATTTCTATTTTGTAGCTTTTTTGTGGTTGCTTATTTTTAATGGGCATCTTCTGAACTATCTTTTTAGATCCCAGTGTGCACTGTATTTTATCTTCTCGTATGGGCTAAATTTTTTAAATTGTGAAATATGTGAGAATTTGTGTAACATATGTAAAATGAAGTAATAAAAAACAACTTGGTATTTTCTCCCAGCTTAAGAAGTGAGGTAGTACTTAACTAGTACTTTTGAAGCTCCTTGTAATCATACTGATTTTTTTTTTTCATTTGCTACTTGTAATACTTCCTACTGCTTTAGTTACTTTGAAATTAGATATAATTTTTAGTTTGGTGTCATTACAAAACATTGTCACATTGGAGAACATATTGCACCTGCCATTTAGTTTGTTAGCTCCTGGGTTAATCTGAACTTGCCTGTCATGCTGATGCATTCATTTCAGTCCCAGTCTTACATTCTGGATCTCTGTTGATTAGTGTTTTTTGTTTTTTTGTTTTCTGTTTTTGAGACAGATTTCCCTCTTGTTGCCCAGTCTGGAGTTCTATGGCGCGATCTCCATTCACTGCAACCTCTGTCTCCAGAGTTGAAGCGATTCTCCTGCCTCAGCCCCCCCGAGTAGCTGGGATTACAGGGCGCCCAGCTAATTTTTTTTTGTATTTTTAGTAGGGATGGGATTTCTCCATGTTGATCAGGCTGGTCTCGAACTCCCGACCTTAGTTGATACGCCCACCTCGGCCTCCCAAAGTGCTGGGATTACAGGCATTAGCCACTGCACTTGACCTTGTATTTTTTATTTTATTTTTTACAAATCTTAGTGTATCAGTACTTTTAATTAGGTGGCTTGATTCCCCCCCTCCCCCAACCCCTGCCTGTGGAATACAAACACCAAGAGACTAAGCTCAGTACCTACCTGAGTATACCACGTGTTTAACAGCCTGTGGAAATTGTCCTGTCCCTGAAGATATGCTGTAGATTAATTTTATGCAGTGATTTTAAGACAACTAAAAAAGTGCTTTGTGAGTTTAACTTCTAAAATCCGTGTAAGCTCATTTTCTGGATTGTTCATAGACCATCACATTGCCTTTGGCAAACTGAGCTGGAACATACTGTAGAAGATTTGAGAATCATGAGGGGTTCCTGTGGTAAAGAGAGATGTTTGTCACTAGCATTTGATTGTTACTCCATAGTTTGTGAATGGCTCCATTTGTGGGGGAAATGATGAAAAATATACTCTGTATTTTTCTCAAAAAAAAAAAAAAAAAAAAAAAAAAAAAGAAAATATGGCTGTCTAGATTTTTAAGCCTCTTTAGGAAGAAAATCATATCTGTAGCTTATCTACAAAGCACATTTGGTGTGTGGAATTATAAAAACTCTGACCTCAAATTAACATTTTTGTTTTTGAAAAGTGACTAGCCTGAAGGAAGGATATATGGAATAATCACTAAAGTCCTTATTTAAAGTAATCCAAGGTCAAGATTTCTGGAGTTTATTGTTACTTAGCATATGATGGTTTGGTTACTATATAAGTCAGCAGCAAATTATGTAACTCAGAGAGATACTTTACGTGGCCTTTCAAATGAGTAAAGATTAATGGATGTTTCAAAAAGGTGTCAGAAATTTTGACGTGTATTTCTTACCTTTAGATTTTTAAAATGGTAATGAAATAATCTAATCTCTAACAATTTTTAGTAAAGAATACTGATACCTTAATTGATTCTACTTTCCTATAAAGAACTTTTGTACCGGTGATACCTACTTCTATCGAAATTGGCGAGGTGTAAGTAGCGTTGTAATGTTTTCTAGGTGAAGAATATGATGTTGAGCCTAAAGGATTTGGTTATATAGTTCATAACTAGAGACTGAGTTTATATTTTCTTTCCCCATAGTTCATGTCTTAATTTTAAAGACTGATCATTTTAGGGAAAAAATTATTAGAAAATGATGTCCTTTGAGTAAAGATAATCTTGATTCAATTATTGTTTTTACAAATAAAACTATTCTGATGCAGCAGTCTAGTGTTCATTCGTCCATCTAGTCATACACCCCCACAGTATGCTATCAGCTGGTTGTAGGTCTAGTGTTTAATGTAATACCGTAACAGGCATTTGAATTGGAATGGTAGTTCTTCAGGAATAGAATCTGGAATACAGGTAAAGATTTCAGACACGATTCCTAATTTAAAAATAACTCACAGTGTTTCTGAGGTTATTTTCCAGTGAAGTGTTTAGTATTGCTGCTATTTGGAGTACAGAGTTGAAGCTTTTAAAGAACCTGGGAGTTCAAAAGTATAAGAAGAAATAAATGAAAAGCAGAAATATTTTGAGGCGATAAGTATAGACTCAAATCTATATTATGACCACTTGGAATTCTACCAGTAAGAGATTTATTTGGGCAAACTATAATGGTTGTTGGAAATTGCAAATCTTAGTGTGAATTATTTTAGTCCAGTTGGTTTCTTTCTTTTACTTACCTGAAATGAACTATACTGAGGCAATAGGAGCTTTGTATAGTAATTTAGGAGTGTAAAACAACTTAGGGAAAAGGATTATTAAGCAGGATGATTTGGATGACATCATGTGAAATTTAGGAATTGGAGGCATTGGGAATTGAGAGAGTACTAACAAAGGAAAACCGCTTATTTTAGAATTTGTCTGGAGGATGTAGAGTTGAAGAAAGCTTTGGTTTTCTTCTGCAGCGGCCCCAGTGCTCTTGACCAGGAACCTCTCTTGGAGTCAGTAGTTTTCATGAGACTGGCATAGGAGCTTGGCCAATGTATGCAACATTGTTCTATTTAGAATATTCCCTGAATTAATTCCATAGTGTCAAAACATAAATTTTTCACTCAACTCCTTTGTAAGTTAGATTTTAACCTGTACTTGTCTTTACCTCTTCCGCTGATATCAGTTGACAACACTGAGATTACTTTCATTTTCCTGTAAGTCGTTATGAATTTTTCTGGTTAACCATGAGTTATCAGCAGAAGCAATAATTAGGAAGTACTGTAAAAGAATTACAATAAAATAAGAGAAACCACTTGGAGAGCAAGAGGGCTTGTGGACTTAGGGGAACAGTTATGAGAAGTGTCTCAGAATTTAATTTACGAATAACGTTGATAGATTGACATGTTGTCTTTCCCGTGAAGTAACTTTCATTACCTCAGCCTTAATAGTAAACTACTATGAAAGTGAATTCATGTTTATCTTGATTTGTGAGCTGATGAAAATTATAAAATGTAGGAATTTTTCCCCAGATAAATAGTGGAATGTTCAGGTTTGATACCTGGAAAATAGCTGAAATTTTCCATGGTAGTAGGCATATTCTGAAACTGTTTTTCTTTTCTCTGACAATTGAATATATTTTATATGTAGTTGATTTTGATTATTGAAGACTAAGGAAAATTGATTTTAAGTAAGTTTAAATGTTAGAAAATGAATTTTGCAAATTTGAAGTAATTTTATATGTTTTGGGATTGTAGTTATGTTAGATATTCCTCAATTAGGGATAATTGTCTTGCATCATTATCTCTTATCATAATCTGTTTTTCTTCACACAGTGTTATAGTTTTGCCGCTGGACTCTTCCCTCCCTTCCCCCACCCCATCAGGATGATATGAGACTTGAAAGAAGACGATGCATACAGGTGACTCAAGTTTTGAAATACAGTAAAACTGTGGCTAAGAGAATGTGGGAATCGATGGTGTGTTTTGAATGGGGGAGCGTTCTGATAAATAGTGGGAGGAATTGTAGATCAGTAAATGCAAAGGTAGTTGGGCTATTTGTTAAACTTTTGAACTCAGATTGATAATCAGTGATTTACAATGCTGTTATTACAAATACAGCATAGTAATTGCTAGCACTTAGGCTTTTCAAGAGCTAATATTTTGGTGGGAATTGGAATAATTCTGTTAATAATATAAATAACACAGTTACCTTTATGGTTGAATGCATGTCTCCCCCAGAACTCTATTAGAATATGGCAAATCTTTTATGGGAGTAGATGTTAGTAGGATATCATTAAAAAGACTGACAGTTAAATTAAGGATATTATATTCATACATATGGTTTCTTAAAAAGATATGCTCTGGGATTTTATTTATTTTTTCCTTGTTCCTGATATCCGTGCCTCCCATTTCCTTCCCTCCCTTCCCTTCTTATCCTTTTGTCATTTGTATTTTTATACAGAAGAAGCAGTGTGAAGGCATTTTTGAAAGAATATTTTTTGATTGCTCTGTAATTAATTGAGGAGATCTTATACATGGGAAGCTGGAGGCTATTCCATGTGTGGCTATGTTCAAATTCCTGAAAATGTAGTGCAGCTAATGTATAAAGTGTTACTAACTTTTGAACTTAAATGTTCTTAAATCAGGCATATTGTAAGGAATTTTGTTGAACTAAGTGTCTTACATTTGAAACTCTGTCAGAGATAGTCTTGTTTGATTATATTTATAAACTAATGTTTGAAAATGTGATTGCTAACTGGAAAAGATAATTATATAAATTTTGAATTGATATCTAACAGATAGTAATTATATCATTGGTGTAGTTTTTGTGATTGGTTTTTATTTTTGGTGATCTGGGTTTTGTCTAGGGGAAAAATAATCATTTTATGATTTTAAGATTTAAAAAAAATGTTTCGATGTACTATTTTATAGGAAGAAATGTGCTTGAATATATTTATAAATTAAATTAGAGATTATATAATACTTTATGTTCATGTGGAAGTCACCATTTTAAGACTGATGTTAATTCTTGTTTACATCAGAGGTGATTGAGCAATCACCTCCGTTACGCATCTATCATGCATGCACACAGGCTTGCACGTGTTATGTTTGCCTGTACACATTAGAGGTATGCCAGGTACACATTCTGGCTGAGTTGCTCGCTGATTGTTGAAAGCAACGTGATGCTGAAGCTGAATATCACCATCATAGAACAACAAATAGGCATATTTACAGAAACATTTTTAGAATTTTATGCACATTTTTTTGTTGTCAGATTTTATAAGTTTGACCTTTTGGTGCAGGAACTATTTCTCAGCATTGTCAGCTCCTGGATTGCTCCTTGGGCGCTATACTGCACATTGGCTATACCAAGTAGATGCTCACTTTCGACTGAGGTCAGTAGAGGAACAAAGTATTTTTGGGGTATCTCATAGATTTATCTATGAATATTACTGATTTTGGAGATTTTCTCTCATGAAATTTTGGAGTTGCAAAGTTTCTGTTTATCCTCACAAGACATGGAGGGTTTCCAAATAGCTCTTTTTCTTGAAAGGCTTATGGCCTCAATGGAATGAAATAACTAATGAGTAAATACAGTTTATAGTTATCTAATTAATTTTATGAATGCTAGAACACAAGAAAATTCTACAGATTAGATTTATGATAAAATCCAATCTTTTATTCAGCCTTGTATTCTTTAAAAATTACCAGCATTTATTGGCTTACAAAGGAAAAAACTCAGGAAAGAAGATGTAGCTGTTAAATAAATATATTAGCTGTTGGTGTATTCCCTTTCTAACAATTTGAAAGTTAATAATTGTTTTTGAACATAAAAGTAACAGCTTTCAGAATCATCATTAATATAGCAGTCTGGTCTTGTATTACTATGCACACATTTATTCGACTGATAGAATTTCAACACATTAAAACTCATGAGTAGATGTTCATCAAAAGTTGTTTCTAGAGAATGCTTACTCACATTTGAAAGCAAGTGGTCTGCTTTCTCCAGGCCTTGTTTTTACCTTCTGGCATTGTTCATGATACTGGCTTTGTTATGTTGGTTAGATGTGGTAACTTATTCTCACCTTTTCCTTGATGAGGCACAGGTTCAGGGATGCTGGAAAGGACATTGAAGTAGGCATTGGCTGATGGGCCTTTCAGAAGTGAACACTTAAGAGTAGGTTTTCAGAGTAACTCTGTGAGGTGATGAGTATGTTAATTGACTTGATTGTGGTGATCATTTCATTTTGTATATGTGTATCAAAACATCATGTACACCTTAAATATGTAAAATTTTTATTTTCCAGTTATAACTCAGTAAAACTGGTGGGGGAGAGAACAAATAGTTTTACTGAACACTAGGCCAAAGTCAGACTTTGATGTATTTTGTCCATGTGTCTATAGGTGTTCCTGTACTTACTTAATTTGAGGATCTTTTTGCGTGTTCTAAAATACAGTTAGAACATGAATGAGGTAAATTTGGATTTTCTTTTGATTTTTGGAAGAACAAATGATTTGTTAACAAACATTTATTTCGTCAGCATTTGCTTTGTACCAGGTACTATTATAGGTGCTCTGCCTACAAAGATCCCTGAGCTTATGAATAACAAATAAATGAGGCAGTGGAGGTTTCTGATAAAGTGTTAAGACTCACCTATTGAATTCAAGGCATGCAGAGAGAAAATAGAGAGCATTGTCTGGGTAATGACATTGACAGTAATGGCTTTACCTGTATGCAGAGGTTACCAAAATCTCTGCATCCTGTTCTTCTCTTCTGAGCTCCACACTCAGGTAACTGCTTCCTGGATGCTTCTCCTGCATATTCCCTCCTCCTCCCCCATTCAGTTCTCTTAGTAACGAGTGACACCGTTCTACCCTAACACAACATCATTTGGGGATCCTAGGAACCACTCTTTGCCCTTTTGAATCACAAGTAACCAAATTCAGTTTATTTAAGGTATAGAATCACTTCTGAGATGAGATTTGAAAAAAGTACTGCCTCAGAGATTACCATGTATATAAATATAAAGACTTTGATATAAAGAAACCTCTGTAAACCAGCATTTCTTCAGTTTACTTGATCAAGGGACCTCCCTTTCCTTTTATTTTTGATTTATACCTATTAACATCTTGTGGAACATGATTTGGGAAAATGTGTTGGGAATAGAAGTTGCTACCATTCTTTGTTTTGTTGAAATGAACTTCTTTAACAACTAAAAAATTTTTAAACAATAGTGATATACTAGTCACTTTAAAATGTGGAATAGTTCCAAAGCCTACAGAACTATCACTTTTTGAGGATGAATAAACATGGAAATTTATTTTTAAATGTGCTGATTTGTTCATATTGTCTTTGTCATAATTCTTATGCATACACTATATATATATATACACTCATATATATATGAATTTACTTAAAACCATTTGTGGCAGAGTTTTAATTTTAGATTCTCTTAACTCATTTTAAAATGTGAATTTTGTAGGACAAAATTTTCATATTTCCAGTGATCACAGAAATGTGGTGTATTCATTACAGAACAATTAGATTCCAGTGATCACAGAAATGGGGTGTATTCATTATACAAGAGTTAGAAATTGGATCTGTAAATTACAAAACCCCAGCTTTTAAAATCCCATCATATGCAGGATACACTGGGAGAATGAAGGGGCATGTACATTGTAATACTTAGGTAGCGGTTGCCAGTTTGCCTCCCCTTGGAATTGTTCTTCTCGTGGTCGTGTGTGTCTGATCTTTTTCTTTGTCTGTGTCTCCTCCTCTAGCTCATGTCTCAACTCAAGCAGTTTGATTTTTTTCTTACTGGTTCAATAAATTTATTTTTTTAGTAAGTTAAAAAGATAGTGGATTTGCTTTTGCGCTCATGGTTTTACTTCTTGTTTGTTAGATAATACAAAATCACTGAAAGAATTCTGAAATGTATAAATATATATGGATAAGTATAAGGAAACACCCCAAGTTTTAGTGTCCTCTACAGTGTGACACATTCCCTTCCAGTTTTTTTTCCATGCCATTTTTAAATTAATTGAGATCATTTTGAATATTCAGAATGATGTGGTTGGGTAAGATCCATTTTATACTCGAATTGACTAACATATCATAAATGTTTCTCTACGCCATCAAAAGCTTACGGTAGTGATCTGCTGTTACTTTGAACTTGGAGCAAATCCAGGGTACTCAGAATGCTTTTGAAGATCAATTACTTTAGATATTTATTTTACAGTTTGCTTATTTCCTAGTTAAGTTAGGTATCTCTTATTTTTAGGCATTAAATTGTTTTCTAAAGCACTAATATCTGTGCATAATATTTGGCTGTAAAATTATTTTCTTATAATTGTTTCGTAGGAGTCATAGTGTTTGAAAAACTTTCAGGCTCTTGATACAACTTTTCAGAAAGCTGTTTGGTAATATGTACCACTCTGTACATTACAAGAATGTCTCTTAATTTATTTTTCTCAGCATTGAGTATTATAGTTAAAATAAATCTTCAACAAGCAAAAAGAAGTATCTCTTTATTTTTGAACAAATAAAGTAGTATTGTATACTTGGTGGAGGAGATATAAGTGCTGTAGAAATGCATAAAGTACAAAGAGACAGCCACTCCCCTTTTCCTAATAGTTCAGATTCTTTCTTTCTAGCAAGTGGTTTTTGTTTAATACTTTTATGGCATTTGCACATATTGTTTACTGGTTTTATGTCCAGCTAGTCTGATAGTTCCTGAAGGTCAGGGGGTTAAGGCTTATCCTCTTTGTGTGCCCTGTGACTGTCTGGCAGGATTTCTGGGACACAGGAAGCGCTCAGCAAATGCAAAAAGAATAATTTTTGCCATCCTAATGGCATTTTTAATGCCTAAAAATAAGTATATTCTCGCTTTAATACATTTCTTCAATTGGTTTTAATAGTTCCTTATTTTCCATTTCTTTTTATGTTTCATAGTTTTATTTATGTTTTTAAGTGGAAGCAATTAATAATGATTATATTATGTATGTGTCATATGAAAGAACATTTGATATTTTTAGAAAAAATGATGGGAAACCTGAGGTAAGCCACATTGTAAAATTGAATTTTTTACCTTAATATCTCTATTTAAGACCCAGGTAAAAGCAAATACATTTATATTCACAATTTTGGATTTTCGGTGTACTTACTGAGTGTACCTTCAAAGAATGTCTAAGTTCTAGGAAGATGACAATAGAACATAGTTTTAAAATTTTCCCATTTTCCTTTAGATAGAGACAGAGTAACTAGGTCAGCAAAACCAAAACGTCACGTTCAGCATCTGCAAGACTAGGTGAACAGTATCCCCCGACTCACATACAAGTAAGTAGGTGAGAGTGAATGTCTGATAACAAGACCTGTGTGGTATCAGCATTTGTGCAGAAGGAGGCATGAGGGTGTCTAATGGGCCTGAGAATAGGAGAACCCCAAGGTAACCAACAGAGGAGACTCACTTTAGTGAGAGACTTGCGGAAAGTATGTTTGAGAACAGCAGCTGGAACTCGAGATAGTTTTGAGTTCCCTGGAGGACACAGTAAGTTCTGAAGGGGGGTTAGAGTCATCTGGTCCCTGTGAACTCTCAAAACTAACCAGTTTAAGCTTCCTTCCCAGTCAAAGCCCTACACCAAGGAAACACTGCTGGGAATAGAATCCACATTAAACAAGATGGAGACAATGAGGGCAAAGGAAAAAATGTCAGATGAAAGTGGGAGAAGATAAAAGCACAGGAGATCTTATTCATGAATCTATATTTTGGTATCCTTCATGAAGACGGAAGAGAACTCTTATTGAAGTCAGAAAAGCTACTCCAGTTTCCCCAAAGTTTTTTATTTTACATAAAAATGAGCAACGGACAGGGATCATAGTCAAATTCCCCACAGAGTTTTTATAAGAGAAAAGCATAAGGAGCAGAATATTATTACTGCAGACAATGAAAGCATGCCAGAAAGAAATGTCCACAAAATAAATGAAACTATAACCTGTTTTAAAATAAACCCAGAGAAATTTAGAAAATGATACAAATATTAAAGCACAATGTAAATCTGAATAAGAAAAATTAGAAAAGTGGTGATAGGAAAGAGAAGTAAAAGATAATTTAAAAAATGAAGCCTAAACAGAGTGAAAAACACATTATGAAATTTCTCAGAAAACTGTTTAACATGAATAACCGGCCAGGTGCGGTGGCTTACGCCTGTAATCCCAGCACTTTGGAGGCCGAGGTGGGCGGATCACAAGGTCAGGAGATTGAGACCATCCTGGCTAACACGGTGAAACCCCGTCTCTACTTAAACAAAAAACCAGGAGTGGTGGTGGCGGTTGCCGGTAGTCCCAGCCACTCGGGAGACTGAGGCAGGATAATGGCGTGAACCCGGGAGTGGAGCTTGCAATGAGCTGAGATAATGCCACTGCACTCTCGCTCTGGGGACAGAGCGAGACTCCATCTCAAACGAAGATGAATAACCAAGGAGAAATGAAGAAAAATGAAGCATTCCAGAGAAAGCAACGGTTATTAAAGACAGGCAAAGAAGTTTCAACATGCAAATAACAGGAGGCTCTGAAGAAGAACTAAAGCAATGAAACTTAACAGATACTAACAATATAACTCATGAAAATGTGTTGAAATTTGCTTTGCAGATTTTTTTTTTTTAAGAGATGGGGTCTTGTTGTGTTCCCTAAGCTTGGAATGCAATGTGGCATAAGCATGGCTCACTGCAGCCTTGAACTCCTGGACTAAAGCTGTCCTCCCACCTTAGCCTCCCAAGTAGCTAGGACTATAGGCACGTGCCACCACGCCTGGCTAACTTACTTATTTTTATTTTTGTAGAGATGTGGTCTTGCTGTGTTCCCTAGGCTGATCTTGAACTGCTGAAGACCAGCCTCAAGTGATTCTTCCACCTTAACCTCCCCAAATGCTGGGATTACAGGTGTGAGTCACCATCTTGGCCTTTACTCACTTTTTAGTCTGCTTTTAAATTTTAAACATTCTCCAGCATCAATATTCTTCTATAGTACTGTTTTAAATGACAAATTAGTATTCTATGAATGAGTTAATGTTTAATGGTTCCCCATTTTTGCTAATTAGTTCATGAACAATGTTTAAGTGAATACTATTATGGGATTTTTTTGTTTGTTTTTTATTTATTGCCTTAGGTTCAATTCCTAGAAGTTGGAATTGTTAAGGTGAAGCATATGTACATTTGAAAGCCTTTTGATATGTTATTTTTAAATATCTTTTTAAAGTACAGTTTATGCTTCTACCAGCTACACATCAGAATTTTTCTACACCCTAGGATCCTAGGTATTTTAAAATGTTTGCCAATTCGATAGACAAAACATAACTCAATATTTAAATTTACATTTGCTTGAATATTAGACCAAGTATGTTTTTTGGGGGGTTTGTTACTGATGTTTTTTGTGAGTTTCCTTTTACCATTCTTTGTTGATACTACTTTTGGGTTTTAATTTTTTTTTCTTAATTTACCAAAGTTTCTCATTGAACCCTTATTAGATGCCAATAGCTATTCTAAATTATTTACAGGTATTAACTTATTTACTCCTAATGATAACTCTGATACAGGTACTGTGATTGACCTAGACAGAGGTTCGGTAGCCTGCCCCAGGTCACACAGCTAGTAAGGGATAGAACTGGGGAGCAAATCCAGACCTGTGAGTCCCTACTGTTAATGATCATGCTTTTGATTCTAGGGATACTTATTGTTACTTATTGCTGGTACATTTTCCAGTTTGCATTTGCCTTTTGTTCTTGATATCATTTTATACAAGAGCTTTAATTTTTGGTATTGGAGAACTAAGTTTTATTTATTAGTGTAATGCCTCAAACGTAACAGATTCTCAAATCTGTGTGTTGAACAAATGAGAATGAACCCATCAGCAGTCTGTTGATGACCTTTTATGTAGTGTAATATTTATCTCCTTTTAAAGGGATTCCCAGGGCTTCATAAATGATGTACTCTTTGGTTTTTATTAGGCACAGTAAGCTTATCTGTATTGGCTCTTCTGGAAAGTTTTTTAGACGTAATCACTGCTTTTAAAAGGAACATGTGTTCTTAAGCAAATAGGAGTTGTGAAGAATGTATTTATTGACAGTGATTTGAATTGTAGATTCAAAGTGAAATGAAATAATTTCACTCTAGGAATAATTGGATGGGATTTTTTTTGTAGTTTTAGAAAATTATAGATTTGGCCATTGTTTTAAAAGTTTTGAATAAATTTTGGCTTAGTGTAAGAAGTAAGATTCTTTGACAGGAAAACTAAAACTACAAAACTTGATATGAAAAATTATCATTGCTTAAGATTTGGATAGTGTAGATCAACTCCTCAAAAGGTGAAATTTAAGATTTTACTTTTCTCGAACTCCTGACCTCAGGTTATCCTCCTGCCTCGGGCTCCCAAAGTGCTGGAATTGCAGGTATGGGCCACCACGCCCAGCCAAGATTTTACTTTTCTTTAAGCACTCTTTCTCCCTTTTTCTCTGGTGGTTAATAGCAGGCTACTTAACGGTGCCTTCTTAGTTTGGCCTCGGTATTCCTTACTTTAGTCTTTTAAAAAAAGTGTAGTGATCCATATTGCTAATGGATATACATTAGAGAGAAACACAAATAAGTTCATTTTAATTTTTACAAACCATCCACAAAATGTACTGCATGGAATCAGGTACTCAAAAAGATACTCAAGATGTAAAGATTTATCTTGTTAACACAAATCCAGGTCTGCTTTGTATAAAGTTACCAAAGCTTAAAAAACATTGTTGAGTGCTTGCTGTTTTTGTAACCTACTGGTTACACCCTGTTCTTTCCTCTTCTGCTGCTGGTAGTAGTATTCTTCAGGCCATTTGTATTCGTCTGTTCTTGGACTGCTATAAAGGAATACCTAAGACTGGGTCATTTATGAAGAAAAGAGGTTTAATTGGTACACGGTTCCACAGGCTATACGTGAAGCATGGCTAGGGAGGCCTCAGGAAACTTAGAGTCACGGTAGAGAGTGAAGGGGAGCAGGCGTGTCTTCCAGCAGAGGAAAAGAGAGAAGGGGGAGGTGCTACACAGTTTTAAACAGCCAGATCCCACGAGAACGATCTCACCTAACTCATCATCCTGAGAACAGCACGGGGGAAGTCTGCCCCTATGATCCAGTCACCCCTTAAGAGGCCTCTCCTCCGACATTGAGGATTACAATTTGACATGGGGTTTGGGTGGGGACACATATCTAAAACAATCACCGTGCTTAGCTGATATTGTTAAATTCAGACTTGTTCTTTTATATTAAGCGTTAATCAGTCTAGTTTACATGCTTATGTTAATAAAATTTAATCCATTCTGAAAGTAAAAGAGTGAAATGTTAGTTTTCCTTTTCCTCATTCCCACTTATAGGGGTAACCCCTTTTAATCTTTTCCATTTTAAGATTCTTCTCTTGGTTGCCTCCATGACTGTTAATACATTAGTATGTTTGTAGCTGTGTTTTACTATGAAACCAGATATCGCTCCGTGCTATCTCTTTGCCAGCCAGTTTCTCCCGATTTTCTTTTAAAGTTTTTCTGTTGGTTATTATTAAAATTTTATAAAACTAATTTAAACCTCGTTCTTGGCCATCAGTTTTAGACAGTTTCTCTTGATTTCTCAAGATTTGAAATGAGAGCTTTGGAGCTCTTTATATTTCTTTTTACTTCATAGCTGTTAACCCACCAGTTATTTCCAGCTTGTGTATAGGTATATTCACTTACACATCTTGCTGTCACTTAATTGAATTCTTTATTTTTGTGTTAGAATCTTCTGAATATTGAAAACAGAAAACTATACTGAAGATCATAGTGTATTAAGACTGATGGAGAGGGAGATGTGATACTGTGTCACTAAGGTCGTTCCAGTCATAGGAGAAATGTTACCACTGGATTGAGGTCTGGTATATTTTAAAAGATGATTTAATTCTATGATATGTGTTCAACTTGCACTAGGAAAGTTTTTACTTCCACCTTTGTTACTTTCACCAAAGGTTACTTTCACCTTTGTTCATGCACGGCACAAATACCTGTGAACCCTTACTGCCCAACTCAAGAGCCAGAGTCCTCTCTCATCCTTTTGCTTCTCTTCTAAGTGAGAGGACTGAGTGCAGACTTGGTGTTTGTGGGTGAGGCATGTGGACTGACAGGCTTCAGTTTATTTAGCGAGTGTAAGTCCTGGCAGGAAGGTTCTCTTTCTTTCCTTGCCAGGTTGAGGAGACCTCATTAAACAGTATGAACTTGTGGTTTTGGCGTGTCTAGTCCTGATGCAGGTGGCTTGGTATCCTCACAGGCATTTCTTTGGCCTTGCCCTTGGGGTGACTGTTCACTTGTGTTTGAGCAGCTGGGACTCAGTAGGTTCCCTGGAGTAGGTATTTCTTTAGAGCCCCTGGGGGAGGCTGATCATGCAGCAGATAGTTGTTTAGTGTCAAGCCAATCTCTCCGCTTCTTTCTATTCTAGTTTTTCTTTACCACCCAGAGCGGCATCTGCCACTTCTGCTCTGGTTCCTGGTCCCACCTTTCAGCTCTAGATCTTTTTGACATTCCTTAAATTATTGGTATGATCCCAGGTGCCTTTTTCTTGCAGAAAACTGACAAAATCTTTGGTTCACTGGTATGTCTCCATCCCATGCTTTATTTTATTTTGTGATCTTTTACTGCTTGTTTCGGTGTTTGATATGGAGGATAAGAACAGTGTGTTTACTTTATCCAGTGCTCTAGATTTTCTTTTTAGAAGCACCCTCCTTCCCAGCTTGGGAAAACTGAGCTGCTGGGGTGGCTGTTGGCTCCTTTGCTTGCTGTTAGTTTTAAAGGATTGTTTTCAGTCACACTTGAATTGTAGCTATCCTTGGTTCTCTTTTTACCAATGAATTCTGGTAGTATGTTTTAAGAACTGGGTGGCCTTCCTGGCCTTTATAAACATTTTCTGTAATGCCTAGTGAGCTACGAAGTTGCCCATTGGAGATGAGGCTTTATTGAAAGTCAGCACCTGTACTTCACTCCCTGCCTTTGTGACTTCGGGTTTCAATTGGGTGTTTGGAAGCACTGTTTCTTCTGTCCTTGACCTTGTTCCACATGTTTTACGCATTACCTCCTGTGAGCAGGCACAGAGCCTTTCCTTGTCAGCTGGGCTTCAGCTGCTTTGAGGATGACTACTTATCCCTTGCAGGTGCTTCCCACCAAGGCTCTTGAAAGGGAAGTTTTCATAATGTTCATTTTTAAAAAAGTTAGACCAAATATACCCCCTAAACTTGTTAAGTCTGCTTGTTTTCATATGACATAGAAATTGATACAAAAATACTTTATGTAGTTTGTATAGATGAAGTTGATTAAGAAAGATGACACTTATTCTACTATTTTGTCTTGATAAGTACAGTGCAAAAAACAGTTTTTAAGCCCTAAAGTTAACTTGCAAGAATCTTTTTTTTTGACAATATGCTATCTATTGAATAAAATCTTAAGAAGTCAACTTTTATATTTTCATGATACCTAAATGAGGGAGCAAAAGTATTTTAGTATATGACAATATACTGTGAGTTAGTTGATTCAGAAGAGTAAACAGTAGTCCATTATTTAAAAATTTATGTCTGTAATCCAGATTTAAATAACAGGTTACCTTCTAGCTTTATAAACAGTCTTAATGAGAAGTGGGGGACAAAAAAGAAGCAGGATTGCCCTTAAGTTGGAGAATAGAAATATCTACTTGGCTTAACGTTTTTATAAAAGATGTCCAGCAAAACTATGGTGGCAGCCTTACTTTAGAGAATGAGGTATTACAAACTTGACCAAGGTAGTCATGCCAGACTTTTGAATATTTTTCTAAATTAGATGGCTTCAAATTAAAAAAAGATTTTATCCACTTGATGTTTTTGCAAAACTATAAAGCTGTGTTCTATTTCTACCTAAAATATAAAATTGTTAGTATGGTATGATTTGTCATTTGAGATTATCTTGGCTAATACATTACTGGGAATAATAATGGCTATTACACATTGAGAGGATAGAGGCTGTTTCTGTGTCTCAAGCATCATTAACTGCAGATTAAAAAAAGTTATCAGTTACTCTAAATATATGTCTTACAGGGGAGAAAATGTAATCAGCATATTGTACTTTTTTAGCCTGGCCTGGTGGCGCAAGCTTGTAATCCCAGCTACTCGGGAGGCTGAGGCAGGAGAATTGCTTGAACCTGGGAGGCTGTGGTTGCAGTGAGCCGAGATCGCGCCCTTGCACTCCAGCCTGGGCAACAAGAGCACAACTCCGTCTCCACCAAAAAAAAAAAAAAAAGTTAATGTTTAATTGTATACTTAGAAAACTTTCTTTACTAGGAATTCTGAATATATATATTTATGTAATGAAGATTTTAGTTTAGTAAGTTAACTATTTTAAAACATGTTTAATGTTTAATTTCTAATTCTAAAAGTAGTACTTTTTGATGCTTTCCTAAACTCCATAATTTAAGTAACTTTAAAAAGAATTGATGCTAAGCTAAACATTTAAATTGAGGATTATCCCAGAGCATCTGTCACTAGGCAGATGATGTTTCCTTGTGTCTCTAGTCCCCAAAGGAAAGTCAGAGTGCCAAGTTTTTAATATTTGTCCCCTTAAGAAGGGGGAAAGTTTTGTGATATGAAAAATGTTTAAGAGGTGGTCTGGGAAACAGTCCCTCTTGACATGGAAAATGCCCAGTTTGTTGCTGTAGAGTGCAAAACAGGCTGAGTTAGGCTTGCTTTATCACTATGGAGGGAATAAGAACCTAGGAGAACAAACCAAAATATTAAAGATTCATGGGTAAGAGTATGAATGAAATTGGCTTTAAAATCTTTCCCTTTTACTTCTCTCTTACCTTTATCCTTCGGAATTAAAGGAGGCTAATACGGGTTCCAAGTAGTTCAAAAACGTACCGAAAGTTGTCAAAAGTTTAAAGGGCTGAGATTGAGTCTTTCAGGGAATGGATTAAATACTTTGGGTTAGAGAGTGATTTTCAAATGTCTTAAGCCTTGGCTCGTAGTGTATAGATGGTAGTATGGTGTGAATGATCCTGAGCTAATCTCATGAAAGCTTACATTTAAGTAAATTTTCGTATGGACAAGAAACCAAGAGACATTGATGTGTGACTAAAATACTGATTATTCATGGATACTGCGAGAGCTTTGCTTTTTATCTGTGGGATCTTTATCTTACGCATTATGTTTCTAAAAATGTAGTTTCTTTGTTTATAGGATGGGGGGCGTTAATATTAGATGATTTTTAAGTTTCCTTCTAGCTTTAGAGTTATTGATCCTTTTCCTGACTTTTAGAACCTGACTTTTCCAGTCTTGGTTTCATTGAACTTTAACAGGTTCCAGAATTCCTGTGTAGAGAGAACATGGGAAAAAATTAAGGGACTGGTGTGGGTGATGGGTGCTTAGAGATGATGGAAAAGTGGCTTCAGGAGAAGAGAAATTGTAGTGTTAGGGATAGGACCAGCATGCTCTTCTCTTGGAATCTGATGCTTGAAATCTACTCTGTCTTAATGAAATGTACTTTACAAATGCTAGAAGTCTTTCTGGAGATGTTTATAGACACTCTATGGAAAAATATTTAAAAATCACAAACTTTTTCATGATGTAGAATGAATCTGTACTCAATTTAGGAGGAGATAATTGCTAGGCTAGGTGGGACAAGTTGATCTATTTTAAAATAAAATTGTATCTTTTATAAGGCACAAATGGGAACTGTGTCTCCTTGACATGTTTCAAAGCATTTCTCTGAATATGTGAGATTAAAGAAACTCTCAACCACCCAGAATTGTCAGAACACTGATGTTCTTTAAACCTATCTTTGTAGCTGTTAGTATGTACTGACACAGTTGAAGTTTTTAATGTTTTATTCATTATTAGACATTTTGCATGTGAATATAATGTATTTTATTTATGGTTATATCTTAACTGAACTTGGTTCCCAGATATGAGTATTATTTACTTGGTCTCAGTCTTCATATTTTAAGCTCTATAGGTTAATACTTAATTTTTATTTTAAAATTATTTTTGAAGCTATATATTAAAGTTTGTCATAATAAACGGAAGTGTTTTCCTCCACCTGGGAATACTTGAGACTTCAGTGAGCCACGCTTTCTCTTATGCCCACCTCTTTAGTCTTTCCATTATAGAATAAAAATGCTTTGTGGGATTTCTCTAAAATGTAATTTTTGAGAATCTATTTTAATGTATAGAAAGACATTTACATAATGCTTTTGAGTAGGTGGGGAAAAAAGTTGAAATGTTGATGGCAGCATCTGTTAGAAAAACTCATATGTCTATATAGTAAAAAGTTAAAATTACAACAAATGCACTACTTTAACTGTGTTCTGCATGTTATTCCATGGGATCGCCTTTGGAGTAAAGTAGAATATGTTTCTAGTCCTTTATAGTTGCTGTTAATTTTGTTCTAAACCTGAAAGTGTTAACAGCAAGTTGAAAATGTGACAAAGCTCAATTTCATTTCTTGTTTATTGCTTGTTTTCCTATTGGACAATTGGAAGTAGCTTTGCCCTGGCAACTAAAATAGGCTATTTGCATAACCTAGTGTGATTGGCTAGCATCCTTACTAACAGTTCCAATCATATGGTGTCGGTTTAGTGGTAGGCTATGCTAATTAGCCGCTGTTGCTGGGGTTCAGGGATGGTTTCTGTGTGCTGTTCTGCTGCATTGTGTTGCTTGGTGAGAGACATTGATAAATGAGTATTTAATGATCTGCAGCAGTTCCCACTCACTGCGGGCAGGCGAATTTTAGAACAGAAGTGGAAATGAGGCTTTAATCGCTCTGTTAAATACCTGTAACCAAAATATGTGTATTACATTTTAGAAATTAAGTTGTATGAAATCTCTAATTAAATACTTTATAACACAAAAGGAAAATACTTTAGCTTTGTCTCTTAAAATATAACTCAGGTAGCAGCACAATGCATAGGTTTCCTAAAACTGTAAAATTGATCGTTTTTTTCCAGATCAGAAATAGTGCCATTGTAGTAAGTAGCATGCTTGATTTTTCTTATGACTTTGACCTTTCATAAAGATACATATTTGTGTTTAATAAAATGGTGCAAGCTTTTGGGCAGAATTTATCTTTTACTGCCTGTGTAGTCTAGCAAAAAAGAGCATAAACTTGAATTCCTTGTTCTTGTTCTTCTGTTGAATTTGAAGATCAGGTTGTTATTCACTACCTCCTGCTATTATTACTTTTCTAATTGAAGTCAGATGTTTTAACTGTTGCTTATACCGTTATCGTTGGTTTATGTGAAGTCTTTATTGGTACTGTCAGGTGGTAGGTTCTGTAAGAAAAAATATCAGTTCTTTGTTCAAGGAACATAAAGTGAAGAATAAACACATGTGATGTTAGATTAACAATGCAAGATGACCATATGGAAAAGTGCTGTAGGGATTTATCTGGAAGGGTATAGGGGAAAAAATTCTCTAGGCCTTTTTATGATAGGGACATGGGAAATGGATTGAGAGTCTGGGAAAGGGTTAAAGAGGAAGCCCATAGAATTTGTGTTAAGATTTTAAATATCACTTAGGATTCAAACAGCTAGAGAGTAATAAGAAGGAAGAACATTTTAGGGTGAGTAATAGATGAGCAAAAGTAATGTTTCTGGTATTCAGTTGTTAAATGTAAGTGGTCACAGTGATCAAGGACTCTGGGGCCTTAGGTTTGTCAGTGCCCTAGCTTCCAGGCAAGGTTGTGTCATTCCCTTGAAATAAGACCTGGTGTCTTACTGTTGCAGCTAGCATCATTTTTGGCTTTTTTCACTTGGTTTTGTTGGAAGCAGGGCTCTCCACTTTTTGTGTCTAGTGGTTAAAGCATAGGACTCTTTTGGCTTCTTTTATCCCTCCCATTGGCCCTAAAGCATTGAAATATAGATGCCAAAAATAATCCATGTGAATTTAGATGTTTGTATTAAATTCTCTATAAAGTTTATCCCTTTAATTGTTTTGGCCTTAAGAGCATAGTAAAATTAGACAAGCTAACTGGACAATCTTACAGACTAGTCAAGAATGAAAACCAACATTAAACAGTAACATTTGATTCTTAATCACACGTTCCCAGGCATATATACTGAACATATATTCTAAAATAAGTTTACAGAAGTGCTTTATTCAACCAGAGTCAAAGGGGACCTAGATTCAGAATTTATAATTTAACAGAGTTGGAAATGTCTTTATGTAACTCTATGATATGGTGGAGTGTCCATGCTGTAAGAGAGGTGTAAATTCAGAAGAGGGAGCAATTTTTGGATTGGGACTAGGGAAAGATTCTTGGTGAAAGTGGTGTTTCATATGGTCTTGAGGAATGGGCAGTATTTTAACAGGTGATGTTTGAAGGGTACAGGGTGTGGAAGATGCTATACTAGTTGAAGATGGGGGCCTGTTTTGAAAATTGCATTTACTAAGGTAGATGGTAGAGGAGACTATGTTGTTGAGGGCCCTAACTGGTGGATAATAATAGACTTTGAAGTTTTTCTTGTAAAAAGTGGGGGATTTTTGAATTTCCTAACAGCAGTGGTTCACAATGTATTTTTTTTTAAACACATGCCCTCCATGAGTGTTTGCAAGTTTCAAAATAGACATATCTTTGATTTTTAAAATGTGAAAATGTGGTATTGAGTAATTTCAAGGGGTTTTTGAGTTGCCATCATCTGAAATGAGGTATGTTGTAGGAGAAGCAGATTTTTTTGTGGGGTGGAGGGAAGGGATTGATTGTACTTAGAGTCAGGTTTTGAGTGGGTTAAACGTTTTTAAAACAGCTTTATTGTGTTATAATTGGCATACAATCAACTTCACATAATTGAAAGTAAACAATCTGATGGATTTTGACAAGTATTATTTGTGAAACTTTTACCACAAGTCAGATAATGAAGATTTATTACTTTTTCCAGAATTTTATATAAACAGGATTATATATGTTCTTTTTGCCTGGTTTTAGTTCTTTTGAGAGTCATCCGTGTTAACTATCAATAGTTCACTCTTTTTTATTGCTGAGTAGTATTTCATTGTGTGTATATACCTTGGTTTATCCATTTACCTGTTGAAGGACATTTGAGTTGTTTCTAGTTTTTATTACAAATAAAGATGCTCTGAATATTGTCGTACAGCTTTTTGTATGGACGTATGTTTTTATTTCTCTTTATTTCCTAACATTGGAGTGACTCAACCATGTGGTGGGTATATGCCT